AAGCATGCAACAGACTGACATATCTCAGAGGGGCAGGAGGAGAAGGGAAGAGATTAACCAAAGAGCTTATATACATATATGCATAACCCATAGACACAGACAATAGTGTGGAGAAGGCCTGGGGAGGGGGCGGGATTTCAGAGAGAGGAAGAGAGAGGGGGAGAGAGAGAGAAACATTAATGATGAGAGAGTCATTGATCTGCCTCCTGCCCACCTCCCCCTGGGGATGGAGCCAGCAATCCAGGCATGCGCCCTGACAGGAATTGAACCATGATCTCCTGGATCATAGGTTGATGCTCAACCGCTGAGCCATGCTGGCTGGGCCCCAATGTGGTTTTAATTTGCATCTCTCTGATGATTAACAATGTGAGCATTTTTTCATATGTCTCTTGGCCATCTGTATGTCTTTGGAGAAGTGTCTTTTTAGGTCTTTCGCCCATTTTATAATTGGATTGTTTATCTTCCTCTTGTTGAGCTGTATGAGTTCTTTGTGTATTTTGGAAATTAACCCCTTATCAGATGAATCATTGGCAAATATGTTCTCCCAAACCATGGGTTCCCTTTGCATTTTGAGGATAGTTTCTCTTGCTGTGCAGAAGCTTTTTAGTTTGATGCAGTCCCATTTGTTTATTTTCTCCTTTGTTTCTCTTGCCCTAGGACATGTATCAGAGAAAATTTCACTACATGAGGTGTCTGTGATTTTACTGCCTACATTTTCTTCTAAGTTTTTTATGGTTTCATGACTTACATTTAAGTCTTTTATCCATTTTGAATTTATTCTTTTGTATGGTGTAAGTTGGTGGTCTAGTTTCACTTACTTGCATGTATTTGACCAGTTTTCCCAGCACCATTTATTGACTGCCTTTACTCCGTTATATGCTCTTGCCTCCTTTGTCAAATATTAATTGACCATAATGGCGTGGGTCAATTTCTGGGATCTCTTATTCTGTTCTGTTTATCTATATACCTGTTCTTGTGCCAGTACCAGGCTGTTTTGATTACAATGGCTTTCTAGTACAGTTTGATATCTGGTATAGTGATCCCTCCAACTCTCTTCTTCTTTCCCAAGATTGCTATGGATATTTGGTGTCTTTTTTGGTTCCATATAAATTTTTGGAATATTTGTTCTAGTTTTGTGAAATTTGCTGTTGGTATTTTAATAGGAATTACCTTGAATCTATAGATTTCTTTGGGTTGTATGGACATTTTGATCATAGTAATTCCTTCAATCCATGAACATTCTTCCACTTGTCTATATCTTCCTCTATTTCTTTTTTCAGTGTCCTGTAGTTTTCTGAGTACAGGTCTTTTACCTCCTTGGTTAAGTTTATTCCTAGGTATCTTATTTTTTTAGTTGCAATATAAATGGGATAGTTTTTTAGTATCTCTTTCTAAGAGTTCATTATTGGTGTATAAAAAAGCCATCGATTTTGAGATGTTAATTTTGTATCCTGCTACCTTGCCGAATTCATTATTAAATCTAGTAATACTTTGGTGGAGTCTTTAGGGTTTTCCATGTACAATATCATGTCATTTGCAAATAATGACATTTTTAATTCCTCCTTTCCAATTTGGATGCCTTTTATATTTTCTTGTCTGATCACTGTGGCAAGGGCTTCCAATACTATGTTGAATAACAGTGGTGAAAGCAGACAACCCTGTCTTGTTTCTGTTTTTTAAGGGAAATGGTTTTAGTTTTTGCCCATTAAGTATGATGTTGGCTGTAGATTTGTCATATATGACCTGTATTATGTTGAGGTATGTTCCCTCTATTCCCACTTTCCTGAGAGTTTTTATCAAAAGTGGGTGCTAGATTTTGTTGAATGCTTTTTCTGCATCTATTGATATGATAATATGATTTTTGTCCATTTTGTTTATGTGATGTATCAATTTATTGATTTTCAAATATTATACCAGCCTTGCATCCCTGGAATAAATCCCACTTTGTCATGGTGTATGATCTTTTTAATATATTGCTGGATCTGATTTGCTATTATTTTGTTGAGAATTTTAGTATCTATGCTCATCAGGGATATTGGAATGTACGTTTCTTTCTTTGTATTGTCTTTATCTGGTTTTGGGATTAGGATAATGCTGGCCTCATAAGATACACAGGCATAAAAGGAAAAGGGGGCATTAAATAAGTACCTATGAATAATAACCTTAAACATAAATGGATTAAACACTCCAATCAAAAGACATAGGGTAGCAGAATGGATAAAAAAAACTTGTCCCATATATATGTTGTCTACAAGAGACTCACCTCACAACAAAAGATTCACACAGGCTGAAAGTAAAGGAGTGGAAAAAAATATTCTATTCAGATGGAAACAAAAAAGAAGCTGGGATAGCAATACTTATTTCTGACCAAACAGACTTCAAAATAAAGACCATAACAAGAGACAAAGAAGTCACTATATAACACTAAAGGGATTGATCCAGCAGGAGGATATAACCATTATAAACATATTTACACCCAATATATAAGCACCTAAATATATTTAAAAAATTCTTGGTAGACTTTAAGGATGAGTTTGACAGCAATATATTCATAGTAGGGGACTTACTATCATCACTTACCACACTGTCATCAATGGTTAGATCTCCCAGACAAAAAATCAAGAAGGAAACAGAGACCTTAAATGACACACTAGATCTCATGGATTTAATTGACATTTATAGAACATTTCAACCCAAAGCTGCAGAATACACATTCTTCTCAAGTGCACATGGAACATTCTCAAAGATAGACCATGTTAGGACACAAAACAAGTCTCTACACGTTCAAAATCGAAATCTTAATCAAGCGTCTTCTCAGATCACAATGGCATGAAACTAGAAATCAACCACTATTAAAAAACTAAAAAACATTCAAACACATGGAGGCTAAATAGCATGTTATTCAACAATGAATGGGTTACCAATGAGATCAAGGAAGAAATCAAAGAATTCCTGGAAAAAAACAAAGATGAACAAACAACAACCAAAAATCTATGGGACACAGTGAAAGCAGCCCTGAAAGGAAAATTCATAGCAGTACAGACTTACCTCAAGAAGCAAGAAAAAGCTCTACTAAACTATCTAACACTACAACTAAAAGAATTAGAATGAGAACATCAAGAAAAGCCCAGATAAACTAGAAGGAAGGAAATAATAAAGATTAGAGCAGAAATTAATGATATAGAGGCTAACAAAAAACACAAAAGATCAATGAAACCAAGAGCTTGTTTTCTGAAAAGATAAATAAGATTGATGCACCTTAGCCAGACTCACCAAGAAACAGAGAGGACCCAAATAAATAAAAGCAGAAATAAAAGAGGTGATATAACAACTACCACCACAGAGATACAAAGAATCATAAGAAAATACTGTGTGTAACTATATGCCAACAAACTGGACAACCTGGGAGAAATGGACAAATTCCTATAAACATACAATATTCCAAAACTGAATCAGAAAGAATCAGAAAACAACTAATGAAACTGAAGCAGTAATCAAAATAGTCCCAGCAGACAAAAGTCCAGGACCAGATTCATTTATAGGCGAGTTTTACCAAACATTCAAAGAACTAACACCTATTCTCCTCAAACTATTCCAGAAAATTCAAGAGGAGGGAAAACTCCCAAACTTTTTTTTAGTGTTTTTGTTCTAATTTATATTTCTTTGATTATTCATAAGCATACATTTTTCCTGTATGTTTATTGATTAGTTACATTTTATACATTTTCTGTTCATATTTCTCATCAATTTGTATGAGTTTCTTATATTAGTATGATATTAACATTTCATTTTATTTACTGCATTTATTTTCTTCCAGTTGTTTGTTTTCTTGTAAATTTTAAGTTTACATTGACTATCAATATGTTCTTGTATGTCCAGACATCATTTTTTTAATTGTATCTAGTCTAGAAAGTTCTTTCCCTATCTGCCTACCCCTCCCCCAGTAATTTCATTTTTATTAAAATCTTTTTTTCTTAGAGTTTTATCTTTTCACATTTACCTTTATAAAATGTGCACATATAATTTATTATAGTGTTTACTATGAGATAATTTTAGGAAAATTTTTGCTAAATAGTAATGTCTGTTTTTCTACCTTTTGGAGAAACATTTGGCTTACACAGTGCATTCCAGGTTCAAGATAACCTTCAAAAAGTGAAGCTTTCCCAGGGTTTATGCAAGAGAGGGAACATATAAAGTCTCCTTATCCCCCTTAACAATGGATTGCAGTGACATTCCATAAGGTAGTTGGGTGTTCATAACTCACCTAACTCAGTAAAAGCAGTAGTCACAGTATCACCATGTCAGTCTTGCTGAAATATAAAAATAAATATCAAAGCTGGAAATGGAAATAGTTTGCCATTTGGTATTAATAACTCATTACTTATTAATGAAATTTCTGATATGATCAAAGAGTTGGTGGAAGTGAAACTGTGTCTGTGTATTTGGTAAGAAAGACAATATTTCTAATCAAGAAATGAATAGGGCCCTAAACAGGTGGCTCAGTTGGTTGGTGTGTCTTCCCATATACCAAAAGGTGATGGGTTTGATTCCTGGTCAGGGCACATACCTAGATGGGGCTTTGATCCCCAGAGGGGGCGCATACAGGAGGCAACCAATAGGTAGTTCTATCTGTCTATCATCTATATCTATCTATCATCTATCTATCATCTATCTATCATCTATCTATCTATCTATCATCTATCTATCTATCTATCTATCTATCTATCTATCTATCTATCTATCTATCATCTATCATCATCTATCATCTATCTATCTATCATCTACCTACCTACCTACCTATCATCAATCATCTATCTATATATCTTCTTTATCTTCCTTCCTCTCTCTCCGAAATCAATAAAAAAATTGGTTGAGGATTTAAAATAAGAAAAAAATTAAAAGGGGTTATTTTATTATATAATTCAGAAGTTTTGTGAGTATCGTACTCTATCAGTTAAGTGAATGGGAATAAGTATGGATATCTTCCTGTTGTTGTACAGATCGAGAATGAGTTAGATTCTGCTCGTTCTGAAACAGAACTCCTCAGGAGTCAGATGACAAATGAGAGAATCTCCATGCAGAATCTAGAAGCTTTGCTGGTGGCCAATCGGGACAAAGAATATCAGTCTCAGATAGCGCTTCAAGAAAAAGAATCTGAAATTCAGCTTCTTAAAGAACACCTATGTCTGGCAGAAAATAAAATGTGAGTTTCTTAGCAATATAATAACAAAGTCTTATTCCTTAAATTTCTGATACTTTATAGGTTAGTAGAATTTTAAAGCTGGAATTCATATAATTTAAGCGTCTATAATTGGTCATCAATTAAATTGACGACCAGAAATACTGTGATTACAATTTAGTATTTCTATTATGTTTAGCTAAATTGATCTAAATTTAAGTTTAACCATCTCTGTTGTTTGTTTCCAATATAGCTTTGGGTATAATAGGATGTCTAATCTAAAATATTACCTTTAGGAATATTATAACCAGAGTAGGAAGAAAAAAAAACGCACTTCTGAAACCAGAATTTTTCTATTTATGGACCACCTGGTATTGCTCCCTAATCTTTCCATTTGTCACACAGTATTTTCTCATGTACCTATAATTGTACATCCTAGGTACCTGGAAGAACTCCTGCATTCGCAGACTACTGGAAACTTCCCTTAGAGCACTGACTGTGGCTGCTTCTTTTAGAATCCCCAGCAGCGCATTCCATGACCCTGGCTTGGAGGGTGGGGAGAAATACCTGCCTGGATAGTGACTGTTCTATTGTTAAACTTGGTCGCTTCTCACAAAAACACATGGGGACCCCTAACTTCTGTTCTTACCTGTCTCATCTGTAACAGTTTTTCATCCAGCCTCTACTCTGCCCTCCTGTCTGAGCTTGGCACCTGGGGAAGGATGGGAATCATGATCTCAAGAATCAGCCACTCACAGGAGCCCCTGACTAAGCAAAGTCTGCAAAGCCAAAGCCAGTTCCTTCAGCAACTGTTTTCAGGTTATGGAGCTGTCACTGAGTCATTCTTTTTAGTCACTGCAGCTGGGCTGTGATACCTTCAACTGGTTTTGCAAGATCCCTTTCTCAATCTAGCAGGTGGAAATCTATCTTAGTGAAGTAAGGCACCATTCTGTTTTAGACTGGCTGATAAGTACTATCCCTTAAACTGGTCAACAGGATCGACTTTTGTGTTCCTAGCCTCTAAGGTTAGGTTTCAGCAGTCTATAATGTGTCCTGGAAGCCAGCAAAGAGGGTAGAGTGTTCTGGACAATCAGCATTCACCTCATTACCTTCCCTGTGACAGTGTGCCTTGCTGCAGGGGTTTTGTGGCATGATTTAGCCCTAAACAAGGTCCTGTTAAATTGAAGAGAGTGTGCAGTATATCAAATTCAATTATGAGTATACATAAAGGACTTGGCTGATTTCATATATAACAGACCATATTAATCCCGGTGCTAGTGAATTCCAGTTTTGATTATTTGGTTATACCATTACTTAGTGGATAATACTTCAGAGTACTTGTATAAAAATAATTTGCAGTAGATAGGGAATACAGATAGATAATAGATCATATTACTCCATGTAAACCCAGGGAAACTGACATGGAGAAGGTATAACTAGTTGAATTTGGCTGGCACACCTTAAGCTTTTCAAGTAGGCTACATTGTACATTTACTGCATCTAAAATTGGCATATACATCCATAAAGCTCACAATTTGGCTTGGCTCCAGAGGAGAAAACCTTGTCAACATGGTTTAGTGTACCCTAGGAATCCTAGACTTTTTAAAGTTTAATCAGCTGTCGCTCTTACATTCTTTGACACAGGGCCATCCAGAGTAGAGATGTGGCCCAGTTCAGGAACGTCGTAACGCAACTGGAAGCTGATTTAGACATTACCAAAAGACAGCTAGGGACCGAGCGCTTTGAAAGGTAGGTTGGTCTCTCTGCAGCATTTAGCCTGGGAAGCGTTGTTTCTTAGGTAACAACAGGTTTGGGTTATTGCATGATGCCTAGGTTTTCGAGTTTGCATGGAACTTCAGTTTTACCACAGTATTAATAAGGCCACTGGATATAAAGTTTAAAACTTATATTTTAAACTTTTTGCTTTAGGGAGAGAGCTGTGCAAGAGCTTCGCCGCCAGAATTACTCAAGTAATACTTATCATTTGAGTTCTACAATAAAGCCAAATATAAAATGTCATTCACCAGAACGAGCTCACCATCGATCACCTGACCGAGGCCTGGATCGATCACTAGAAGAGTGAGTGGTTTAAGGATCCATTCTGTGGGGACCATATAGCAATATATACAGTGACTGTTTGAGGGTGGAAGGAGGCTCAGTAACAGACTATCATTAATAGTCCTATTTAAACATGATTAGTTATGTTCACATAAAAATAAAGTATTTTGATAACTAGTTTTATATAAATATTCTAAAGTGAAAGATCTCTTATCTGATTACATGATTATATTTTTAAAATCTAATTTTCTTTTTATTCTACATCAATTTTTATTAATTTTAATTAAATTAATTTAATGAATTTAACTTTAATAAAATATTGGTTAATATTTATAGCACCAAAAAATACATACGCTATAGAAAAGTAATAAGCTAATTTTTCAGAAGCAAAATTTTAGATATATTCCCGTATGTCACAAATTTATAACAACATTTTTATTTGGAAATAATTTCAAATTTACAAGCAGTAACAAAAATAAAAATAAATAATATAATGGACATCTGTGTACCATTTACCCATACCCTCTATTGTTAAAATTTTACCCCATTTGCTTGTTATGTGTTTGAAACAATACATGTACTGTATCACACACTCACACCCTTGCACATGTTCCCTCTCTCTGCACACACATTTTTACAAAATAACCAATAATTCCAGTTCCAACTCATCTTCATGGACTTCTCCCTTGCCTTCTTCCATTCTGTATTAATATGTCCTTTTTTCTACAGTGGGAACCCTGGCTCAACATCAGCACATAGTAGTTACTCATTTGCTCAATCCCAGAATTAATCAAAAATGCTTCAAAATTTCTCACCTATGTCACTATAATATCTTTTTTTTTTTTTTAAATCCTCACCCAAGGATAGTCTTTCCATTGCTTTTCAGAGAGGGAGAGAGAAAAAGAGAAAGAGAAAGAAAGAGAGAAATATCAGTTTGAAAGAGACGTGGATTGGTTGCCTCCCACATGTACCCCAGCCAGGGATCAAGCCTGCAACTGAGGTATGTGCCCTTGGCCAGAATCAAACCCGTGACCCTTCAGGTCCCAGGCAGATGCTCTAACCACTGAGCCAAACTGGCTATGACTAGGCCAACTTTTTTTTTTTTTAAGTCTGTTATAATTATTCATAACATTTTGGTTTTTGTTTATCCTACTTAATGAGGATGATAAATTATTACATCTGGAATAAAGGTATATTTTTAAGAATTTTAGTCTTTTCACATAAGTTTTTTGTTTTTATTTGCTTTGTACTTTTTTTTTCCTAATTCAAAATATTACAGACGTCCTGTTTTCTCCCCATTGACCCCTTCCACCTCCCCCTTCCCCACTCCCTCACCACACTATTGTCGGTGTTCTTAGGTTATGCATATATGCATATAAATTCTTAGGTTAATCTCTCCCTACACACTCACCCACCCACCCCACCTTCCCACTGAGATTCGTCAGTCTGATCCATGCTTCCATGTCACTGAATCTATTTTACTCATCAGTTTATTAAGTTCCTTAGATTCCACATATAAGTGAGATCACGTGATGTTTGTCTTTCTCTGCCTGGCTTATTTCACTTAGTATAACATTCTCCAGGTCTATCCATTCTGTCCCAAAGGGTACAAGGTCCTTCTTCTTTATAGCNCATACTGTCCCAAAGGGTATGAGGTCCTTCTTCTTTATAGCTGCATAGTATTCCATGATGTAAATGTCCCACAGCTTTTTTATCCACTCATCTACTGATGGGCACTTGGGCTGTTTTCACATCTTAGCTATTGTAAATAGTGCTGCTATGTTCATAGGGGTGCATATATTCTTTCTGATTTGTGTTTTGGGATTCTTAGGATATATTCCTAGAAGTGGGATCACTGGGTCAAAAAGCAGTTCCATTTTTAATTTTTTGAGAAACCTCCATAGTGTTTTCGATTGTGGCTGCACCAGTCTGCATTCCCACCAGCAGTGTACGAGGGTTCCCCTTTCTTCACATCCTCTCCAGTCATTTGTTGATTTGTTGATTTGTTGATGGTAGCCATTCTGACAGGTGTGAAGTGATACCTCAATGTGGTTTTAATTTGCATCTCTCTGATGATTAGCGATGTTGAACATTTTTTCATATGTCTCTTGGACAACTGTATGTCCTCTTTGGAGAAATGTCTATTCAGGTCCTTTGCCCATTTTTTAATTGGATTCTTTGTTTTCCTCTTATTGAATTGTATGAGTTCTTTGTACACTTTGGAGATTAGCCCCTTATCAGATAGATCTTTGGCAAATATATTGTCCCATACCATGGGTTTCCTATGTATTTTGAGGCTGATTTCTTTTGCTATGCAGAAGCTTTTTAGTTTGATGTAGTCCCATTTGTTTATTTTTTCTTTTGCTTCCCTTGCCCTAGGAGATGTATCAGTGAAAATTCCACTCCGTGAGATGTCTGTGACTTTACTGCCTATGTTTTCTTCCAGGATTTTTATAGTTTGGCAACTTAAATTTAAGTCTTTTATCCATTTTGAATTTATTCCTGTGTATGGTGTAAGTTGGTGGTCTAGTTTCATTTTTCTTGCATGTATCTGTCCAATTTTCCCAGCACCATTTATTGAAGAGACTGTCTTTACTCCATTGTATGCATTTGCCTTGTCAAATATTAATTGAGTGTAATGGCTTGGATCAGTTTCTGGGTTCTCTGTTTTATTTATTTATATGACTATTCTTGTGCCAGTACCAGTCTGTTTTGATTTCCATGGCTATATAGTATAACTTGATATCTAGTATTGTGATACCTCCAACTTTGTTCTTCTTTCTCCAGAATGCTGTGGCTCTTCAGGGTCTTTTATGGTTCTGTGTACATTTTTGGAGTATATTCTCTAGATCTGTGAAATATGCCATTGGTATTTTAATAGGGATTGCATTGAATCAATAGATTGCTTTGGGTATTATGGACATTTTAATAATGTTAATTCTACCAATCAATGAACATGGTATATTCTTCCACTTATTTATATCTTCCTCTATCTCTTTTTACAGCATCCTCTAGTTTTCCAAGTACAGGTCTTTTACTCCTTGGTTAAGTTTCTTCCTAAGTATCTTAATTTTTTTGTTGCTGGCAAGTGGGATTGTGTTTTAGTTTCTCTTTTTGAAAATTCATTATTGGTGTATAAAAATGCCATCAATTACTGGCTGTTAATTTTGTATACTGCTCCATTGCTGAATTCATTTATTAAATCTAATAGTTTTTTGGTGGATTTTAGAGTTTTCTTTGTACAATATCATGTCACCTGCAAATAATGACAGTTTAAGTTCCTCCTTTCCAATTTGGGTGCCTTCTACGTTTTCTTCTTGTCTGATCGCTGTGGCTAGGACTTCCAATACCATGTTGAATAAGAGTGGTGAAAGAGGACACCCCGGTCTTGTTCCTTTTCTGAGCGGAAATGGTTTTAATTGTTCCCCATTGAGTAAGATGTTGGCTGTAGGTTTGTCATATATGGCTTTTATTATGTTGAGGTATGATCCCTCTCTTCCTCTTTGCTGAGAGTTTTTATCAAAAATGAGTGTTGGATTTTGTCAAGTGCTTTTTCTGCATTTATTGATATGATCACAATTTTTCAATTTGTTTATGTGGTATATCACATTTATCGATTTGCAAATATTGTACCAGCTTTGCATCCCTGGAATAATTTCCACTTGGGCATGGTGTATGATCTTTTTAATGTGTTGCTGGATCCAGTTTGCTAATATTTTTGTTGATTTTAGCATCTATGTTCATTAGGAATATTGGTAATTTTCTTTCTTTGTAATATCTTTATCTGGTTTTAGAATTAGTCTAATGCTGGCCTTGTAAAATGAGCTGGTGAGTCTGTCTTTCCTCCTTTTGAACGTTTTAGAATATTTTATGGAGTATAGGTGTTAAGTCTTTTTTTAATGTTTTATGAAATTCACCTATGAAGCCATCTGGACTAGGGCTTTTGTTTGCTGGGTTTTTATTATTATTATTATTATTATTATTATTATTATTATTATTGCTTCAATTGCATTAGGTGTAATCAGTCTATTAAGATTGTCTGATTCCTTCTGATTCAGTTTTTGAAGATTGTATGTTTTTAGGAATAGATCCACTTCATCCAGTTGTCCAATTTGTTGGCATATAGTTGTTCTTACCATTTTCTTACTAGTTTTTTGTATTTCTTTGGTGTCAGTTAATTCTCTTTCATTTCTGATTTTATTTATTTGGGTCCTTTTTTTTTCTTGATGAGTCTGGTTAAGTTTTGTCAATCATTTCAAAGAATCAGCACTTGGTTTCATTGATCTTTTGGGGTTGTTTTTTATGACTACTTTTAAATTTCTATTCTTTATTCCTTTCCTCACTTTGGGCTTTGTTTGTTGTTCTTTTTCAAGTTCCTTTAAGTGTAAAGTTAGATTATTTGAGATGTTTCTTGTTTCTTGAGATTGGCATGTAACCCTACGAATTTCCCATGCTTTTTCTCCTCCTTCGGGCACCTCTCTAATACAGATGTTGAAATACCTTGTGTTGTCCCAAAGATCCCTTAAACTAGCCTCATTTAAAAAAAAAAAAAAAAAATTGATGCTATAATTGGGTGTTTTCTCCTACCTTGTCTTCTAAATTGCTGATTTGGTATTCTGCTTTATCCAGCATATTGTTTATTCCTTCTAGTGTATTATTTATTTCAGATATCATACTATTTGTTTGCAACTGGTTCTATTTTATGCTTTGTCTATTTTTATGCTTGCTATCTCTTTGTTAAAGTTATCACTAAGTTCCATGAACATCATTGTAACAATTTTTTTTAACTCTTTATCTGGTAAATTGCTTGCTTCCATTTCATTTAGCTCTTTTTTTGGAGGTTTCTCCTGTTCTTTCATTTGGGGTTTGTTTCTTGAGCTCCCCATTTTGTCTGCCTTTTTGTGTTTGTTTCTATATATTAGGAAGATCTGCTATGTCTTCCAGTCTTGGTAGGATGGTCTTATGTAGTAGGTGTCCTGTGAAAACCAGTGGTGCAGTCTTCTTGATCACCTGAGCTGGGTCCCTTGTGTGTGTTATGTGAGCCCTCTCATCATAATTGAGTTTGCTGTTGGCCTGTTCACGTGTGTTTGACCCTCAAGGTTGCTGACTATATTGATCCTTACCACAGTGTACAAGCTGCTGTGCAAGTGCTAACCACATGACGCAGAATTTGCCTCAGCAGGGTATGGTGCCTGCTGAGATCTCCCTTTAGATATGCCGCTTGTTAAGCCAATTGGATCCTGCTCTGATGTCTGAAGCTGGCCACTGGGCCTGTCTATTCTGATGCCTTTTGTGAAGTACCCTGGTGCAGGTCAATGTCAGATGCTGCCTGCGACCTGCCCTGAGCAACCTGTTTGGAGTTACAAAGCAATCCATAGCTTGTGGCTAACTCTGCTGGGCCTTGGTGTATGTGGGATGGACGAATATGTCCACCAAGTCTGGTTTCCGCCAGCACCTAGCCTGAGGGCAGGTTAGCAAATGGTGCAAGGTACCTGGAGATTCACCTCTGCCTACCTTCACCTGCTAGTTGCGTCTTAGGTTCAGTCACTGAAAGAGCCTCTGTTGGTACTCAAGTTGCATGAGGTGGGTCTCAGTGAGTCACCAGGTAGGGGCAAATGGTGTTCACCAGATTGATACAGGTTGAAACTCATGCCATTGCTGGGTCTGAGGCTACTCAGCAAATGTCCCTGGGTATATCAAGTGTAGCTACTCCCTGCCAAGTGCCTGTAGACCTTTGTGGGGGCATGGAGTCTCACGGAGTTGTCAGGATGAGGACAGATTTTATCAGACCCAAACAGACCAAGATTGGCTGTTTGAAGGGAGGGCTCTGCATTGGTTTGGCATGTGAGGGAAGATATGGCCCTTTCCTAGTACCACACAACTCAGTCTGTCCTAGATTCTGCCCAGACCTTCTCAGCAGGGCCAAGCCACCTGGAGCACGGTGGAGGAGAGGGGCACTGGGAGCCCAGAGGATGAGGCTAGTGTATCTCCCATGGAAGGAGGCACTAGTCAGGTTCATAGGAAAGGGGGGGAAGGGGATGGCCCTGTGCCAGAGACACACAGCTGAGTCCGAGTCAGCTCAGAACTCTATACGCTGGCCCAGAGAGATGACTCCTCAGCAGGGCATGAGCTCTGTGGGGTGAGGCAATAGGGAATAAAGATGTTGGGGCTATTGTGTCCCCCCAGGCTGATACCATGAGGAGGGAAGTGCTCCTCCCAAGAAAGACGGCATCTGCAGTGTGAGAATGGGACTTAGCACTGAAATCCTGGTGACTGTCCCTTCAGCTCTCTCCCCAGAGCCATAAACCCCAGTTTCTTCTCATGGAACTCTAATCTGCTTCACCCTCCCTCCCAGGAACTCAGGGTGGGAGGCTGTGAACAACATTTTGTGTGTTGGCCCTTTAAGAGTGTGCCTGGATCTCTCCTGTCCTTCCCTGGAGGACAGAATCCCCGCTGATTTTCACAGCCAGATATTATGTGGGCTCCTCTTCTGGCTCTGGTGCTCTGAGCTTGGGAGCTTGGCTTGGGATTGAGACCATCTGCAGCTGAGCTATCCCTCTGGAACCTCAGCCACCGACCGTGGGAATGGGGCCAGCCCTTTTCATGTCTCTACCCTTTCTACCTATCTTGATGAGGCTTCTTCTGTAAATCCTTGTTTATAAGACTTCTGTTCACCTAGTCTTCAGTTGGTTATGCAGGTTGATTGTCCTATATTTAATTGTAATTCCAGTTCTGTCCTCAGAGGAGGTGAGTATAACTTCCACCTACTCGGCTACCATCTTGGATCTCCTTATTTAACTTGCTGTTAGTTTTAAATGGTATCCTTGGATGGTCACCTATTATCTAGAAAACAGTAAGTGTACTTAATCTGCTTTCCTCCAACATTGGTTTGTTTCTTGTCCCTACAGTTTTGCCTTTTCCAGGATGTCATATAAATGGAGTCATATATGTAGCCTCTAGTGGCTGACTTTCAGTCAGCAGCATATTTTTGAGATTTTTCCCAGGTTGTCATATGCATCAGATATTGTTGCATATCCCTTTTAACCGCTGAAAAGTATTCTATTGCATGGATGTACCAGTTTGTTTTATTTTCCTTTTTATTTGGAAAGAATTATTGCGTTACTGGTAGATGCAAAAATAGAGTTCCCCATCTCCTTCCCCCAGTTTACCAATGGCAACATTTTACAGTCCAGGAAATAGACATTCGTACAATGTTAACATAGGCCTCATTCAGTTTTCATGAGTTTTTGCATGCTCTCATTTGTGTGTATGTGTAGTTTTTTTTTTATACACCACCCGTAATTCACCACCACAATCAAGACACTGAATTGTTCTGTCAGCACCAAGAAACTCACTCCCTCGTGATACCCTTTTATTGTCTAAGCACTCCCCCAGCAAACACTAATTTCTTCTCCATCTTTGTAATTCTATCATTTTGAGAATGTTATATAAATGGAATAATAAACACTATTTTACTTTTTGATATTGACTTTTTTTCATTTAACAGTGTTCATTGAAGTTGTATCTAATAATAGTCCATTGAAGTTGTATCTAATAATAGTCCATTGAAGTTGTATCTAATAATAGTCCATTCCTTTTTATTATTGAATATTATTCCAAGATATGGATGTATCAGAGTTGTCAACACTGGGCAAAAAAAATACATTGTATCTGTTTTTCTTCACAGAAGCTGGGTAAAAATCTTAAGTATTACTGAAGTATTGTTAGAATATGTTTTTATACATGGTGAAATCATTGAATTAAAAATATTAATCTGCACATTTTTCTCTCTCTCTCATAGGAATCTTTGCTATAGAGATTTCTGACATGCAAAGAGATTCTTCACATCCTTGGGAAAGGTCAAAATGTCACACTGATTTTTTTTTTGCTATATGATTGCATTTATCTTTTGAATTAATCTCTGTTCTCATGTGCCATATTGCAGTGGCCGGAGATGACTTATAAAAACAAAAGTGCATGTGGCTCTTTCTATCCATACAGTAATAGTGAGTGTAAAATCTGCTTACTTCACTATTGAACGCTGTCATGTTACCTATCCGGAGTAAATAAAGAAGCTTATAAAAAGGGAAAAGTGTTTTTTACAAAACTGATTTTCTTTCCTTTCTTGGTATCTCAAATAATTGGTTGGTTAAATTTTTTCTTTGTGATTTATGCTTTCTTGGCTGGAGAAGTTGTCCCAAAATAGGCACAGTTTACTGATACTGGCCTGGGTTCCATTATGCCATTTTGGAACCAACCTGACATAAATTCCAGGCCATAATCTGACTTTCAAAGCAGGAGATAGTAGGAGTGTGTCATGATTTTTAAACCCATAGCATTGTACCACTGATTAACATACATTTTCTACAATTGTGTTTACCCCTACTATTTTTAGAAAGGTAGGTGATGCTTTATCTGTCAAGAATGTAAGATTTTTAAAAATCTGTATTTTTAATAAGTTTTCTTTAAAACATTAAAGTACTGCAATCAACTTAATTGCCATTTTATTTTTTATTTCTTTGCCTGTGGCAACTGTTTGTTATATAGAGCAAGAAGTCCAGTGACATTTCCTTATTTCCCCTAAAATCTCCTAAATCTCTTACCTTTTCTGTCCATTGGCTTTGAATTAAGAGCCTGAACACTACTGCATTTTACTGATATTAGCTATTTGTATTCTTGCCATTTTAATAAAAAAAATAAGTTTGTCATTCATAGTATTTATAGGATGTAGACAGTTTCTCATTTTATACAGTCACTATTCAGTATGACTACAGTAATGTAGGATAGCACCCTCATTTAGGTCTTGTTTAATTATTAGCACTCTGATATTTTACCATAAGGCCATGCTACATTCTCACTTGAGTTTGATTTTTTAAAACCTTGAGGTTTATTCATCTAGTTCAAGACATTCATTACAGATTGGTTTAAAAATTGAATTATTTAAAATATGTCCTTTTATAAACATTTTAGGCAATAATATACAAAAAATTGTTCATGCTAATATTAAATAACTTATTAATAAATATGCAAAAGTAACCTTTGGTAGGTGATGCAGTGACCTAAGCACTAGGTCATAACAACATTAATTTAAGCTACCCACCTCCTAGATGAGCTGACAAGGAGGTGAGTGTCACCTGTCCAGATGTGCCCCCAGTCAGGGCCACAGCTACAGCTGCCTGCAGCCCAGCAAGCAGTGGGGCTGGAACCTGTACTCCCTAAGCCCCACCACAGAGGACCGGGCTTATGTCCCTGTGAGGAGAGAGGGAAGTGTGCGCACACTCGGTGCCAATGTCCTGGGTTCTGTACTTTGTGAGGGAATCCTGGGAGGCTCCCCAGGCTCCTTTCCTTATTCGCAGCGGCCAGGAACTCAGAAGTGGAAACTGTTTAGCTGAGTATCCCAGCTGCTTCCCTTTTGCAACTCCCCATCTCCTTCGCGGAAGCTTGCTCACTGCTAAAGCTCGGTCCTGGGGGTTTAGGGCGTGGCTCACAGCCTAGCAGGGCTCCAGGCCGCTGCTCAGCTAAGGACTCCCCAGACTTCCACTTCCCTTCGTCTCTACACCCCCTCCATCCCTGCAATGTGGGACTGCTACTGGGAGAGGCGGCTTGGGAATTTCCCCTTTTCTAGCAGCTAATGAGCCCCAGGCCTGTAGGCTTAGGGTGCGTGGCTGGGATCTCGTGGGTCATGTGGCTGGGGGCCAGAAGGGACAGCAGGCACCAGCTAGCTGCAGGGTCTCCAGAGCCATTCCCTTGGCAAACACACACATTGCCAGGAGGCAGGAGCTGCAGCTGCACTGGAGCTGCTCTAGTCTGGTCCTGCCATCTTCCCTGGCAACCAGGTTGCTAGGGCGTGAAGCTGCAGCCCCGGCCTGCTGCAAGAAGTAGCAGCTGTTTCAGTAATTTTGCCTCATGCAAACACAGCTACCTGTCTGTTAATGCTTCTTTTACAGATACAACTAGAGAACTGATTCAAATATACAGGTGCTCAGAGAAATGAAAGGATTTTATTAACTAATCTTGAAGACTGACCCAATGTTTATTAATATCCCCCCAAAATTTTACTAATACCCCCAAAAAAGCTAACAGAATTTAACTCCAGGGCTCTGATGTTAAATCTCTGTTCAACCAGGTCAACAGGAAATGTTCTCTCCCTTTCTAGGGAAGACTGTCTCACTTTGCTAGGCCTCCTGAAGGCCCAAGACTACTTGAAATATAAGGGACAAAGGAACAGGTTACTAGCCCAGCTACTAAAGGCCAGAGTTTTCCTACCCAAGACAGTAAAGGGTGGAAACCTCCAGTAAGGTCAGAGGCCCTCAGAATCTCTTGTGTGGAGTTAAGTAAATTCAACTATCAGGGTTGGGAAAACACATGTAAGCAAAACTGTGTTGCCACTTTTTGTCACTTGGAGAAGAGTCTCTGGCTCCAGCATGGGAGGGGACTTCGGGCTGTGGACTAATTCCAAGGCTGGCATAGGCAGGATGGCCATGGGATACCTCGGTAGCTAAGACGTAACAGACCACCCCGGATTTTGGTTTGTGACGGGCTAGGAAGCACTGAGGATGCTCATTTTCACTCAGCTACCAGAATCTCCCTCCAAGAGAATGAAAAGGTTTTAGGTTTTTCTCCCCACAGACAATAGGTGGTACAACCTCCATTCACAGTGCCTCAAGAGACTCTTTTCAGGTGCCTACTTGCCAACTGGCAAAAAACTAACTCTGAGTTTTTTTCAAGAAAAGGGCTGTCTTGCCCTGGACAGTTTTGCTCAGTGGTTAGAGTACTGGCCAGCAGACCAAAGGGTCGAAGGCTCAATCCCAGGTCAAGGACACATACATCAGTTGCAGTTTTGATCTCCAGCCCTGGTCGTGGCACGTGAGGGAGGCAACCAATTGATGTATCTTTCTCACATTGAGGTATCTCTTTCTCTCTCCTCCTCCCTCCCTTCCACTCTCTCTAAAAATCAATGGAAAAACATCCTCAGGTGAGGATTTAAAAAAAAAAAAAAAGGAGGGGGGGCTGTCTTGAAAGTGCTAATACCTGATCTTCAAGAACTTTTTATCTAGACCATCTTTTAGAATGCAGATTTCTGGAAGAGGCTGTCTAAGCCAATCAATTTAACTTAGTTCACCTGTATAGTAACTTTCTAAATCAGTGAGTTTTATTATATAATAACTATCTCCATGGAAGTATGTCTCTTAAAATGTAAATGTGTTTGCCCATCAAGAAGCATATGTTTCTAAAAGTTATGGGATGTGTTTGCCAATCTAGGGAATGCTAAGTGCCTACTTTTAGCTGTCTCATACAGTTAAAGTTTGGTTCTTTTTCACTCTGTTAAAGGGACAAGTTTTCTCCTTACCTGATTCTTTTTCACACTGTTAAAGGGACAAGTTTTCTCCTTACCTGATCCCTCTAGAATTTGGCAGTTCTTAATGAGTGAGTCATAGTAATACATTCCTTCACACAAATTCAATAAATCCAGTCTTCACTTGTGATCTTATTAACTAAGACTTTTATTGGAATGCCATGTCTAAGATAGACATGCCTGGACTCTGGATGTCACCAGAAAGCCTTAAGGAACTGAGATTGACTTTCAAAGCCAATAAAAGCCTGATACCTTACTTGGTCACGTGGTTCATGGTAGTCTTTCCAGGTAAGGAACAAGAATTGCTTTCCTAAAAGATGGCAAGGAAGGAACCTCAAGACATTTTGGGGGACATCAAGGACTTGGGGAATTTACCCAAACCTACAGGTATTGTAGGCAAAGCCTGATGGCAACTGTGGCTTGACTTCCTTGCTCTGAGGGGCTGACTAGAACTCAGTCTAAAGATTCCTTGTGAATATTCCATCAAAGCAAATTTGAAAGAACCTGTGTGATCAATTTGACCAATTTCCATTCTTGTGTTTATGCAAATAATCAGGGAAAATTAAAACTGGACTTAATACAGTCTCTTTGAAAAATGAGGGTAATTTTAGGGAGAAAAATTGTGTTTCAGTGGAAATCACCGTGCCAAACTGTGGATATTGGACTCCAGTGCAGTTAACTGTCTTCAAAGTTTTGTTTTCTAACACTGTGTCTGTGTATGCCATACAGACCTCAGCACCTAATGACATCACCAGAGATGTTCAAACTACAAAGAAAATCTGTAAGACTGTCAGTTCAGAGGATCTATCAATCAGATACTGCTGACTTTCATTCCAGCGAAAGCCTGGCACCTGAAAGCCTTCTTCACTGGTTTATGATTTGCTGTGTTCATGAACCTTTGTGTTTTGTGTTCTTCCTTCTGTTTTCATAGAATGTATACCTATGACCTTATTTACCTGGTTGCTTATTTACACAATATAGTCCTCACTGTAGAAGCCATCTGCATCACCATCTCCTGAAATAAGACTCAACAGTTTAGCTGAACTGACTTGTCAGGACTAGATGATTGAGTCGGTGAAGTATGAAATGGTATATCAGTTTCATATGAAATTGCTTTCCCTTTTCTCCCCAAACAGTAAAGGTCGAAAAGGCTCACAGTTCTTTATACAGGAAATCTTAGAATATTCCTCTTAGTCTAATTTGAGTTATGCATGGTGGCAGAAGGGCTTCAGACAGGTGTGCCACATTCCTCCAGGGAAGCCACTCCTCCAATACTGTAAAGTTAGTCCTTCCCTTTAACACATAGGTTTTTACCTCTCACCAGACCTTTAGTTACTATAAGTTTCCTCATTTGAATTGTGCCTTTTAACTTTCTTGTCAAATTTGTCACGTCTAGAATACAACAAGAATGCCAGCTTGTCCAATGCATCATCCTTTGGACATCATCTGTGCCACCTTCCACGGACAGCAGACTGACCTGGACTTTGCAAAATCCCTCTTCCCTGCATGAAGACTCTCCTTCCCCTTTTTGCTCCTTTCTTCCTTGGACAGATAGGGAGAACCTCTGAGGTTTGGGATAGGCAGGACTATGCCCCTCTGACAGCACGAAGCAGTTCCAGAAGATGGAGACCTTCACCCATTTACCTTTGTAAGATTACAAAAGGCTCATGTTCTCTGCGGTGGGGTTGTTAACGTTTTAACTAGCTAGTTAATATTAATAGGAAGGAGCAAAGGGAAGGTCAGACATTGTAAGCCTGGTCATCTTGGCACCTTCACCAGGAAGGTGCAATTTCACACTCCCCAGGGAACCACCCGTCCATTCCCTGCAGATCACTGGAGGGAGGGGAAAGATGGGCACATCTGCATGAAGTCAGGGTGTCATAGGGAAGACGCTTACTGTCAATCAAGCCTGAGGAACAAAGATCACTGGCTAGGGGCTGGAGCCAATGCAAGCCTGCAAAATCCTGAAGAACTGCTGCTAGTTATAACCCCAAGACAAAGAGTTACTGCTCTCATTCCTCTTGTGTCCTCGCACACGCTTGCTCTGTGACCCACACTAGCCCTAGAACGGCACCCTATGTGCAGTGGACTGCAGCTAGAAACACAAGCTAAGCTAGCCAGACGCTGGACTAGAACTGAATATGGAGCAAAGACTTGGGGCAGTGGCTTTGATCTTAGCCCTGCTGAAGACAAAATGGGACTTCTTCCATGGTGAAGTGAAGGGAGATAAGACCTTGAAAGGGAACTCCCTTAATGTTACATCATCAGTAAAGCTTTCCACAATAGTTCATCCTCCTGCAGGGGGCTTCAGGAAATTCTTATTCCCGTGGCACCCCAAGAGCTCCACATCCACCAGTAGCAGGTAGGGACACTGAGAGCACCCCACCGATAACAGGACCTCTGACTTCTTTATCTAAAATAGCAACACTCAATTTTTTAGAATCTAGCTATACTTACAAAGTATAAGTCTCTTCACATGTGAGATTGCTTTTGAAATGCACAGTAGAATACAAAATAAAGCTAATCTGAGAACAGCTTTAAAAAACCTAGTTCTCCTTTTGTGGAAAAGACAGGGAGGTAAAGCTGCCGTTGAGTATGAGAAGCCCTTGGGTAAAGAAAGGTGGGTCGTGTTAAACATCAAGAAATATTACAAAGACATTTCTTTTCAAGCTGGGCTCCAAAAATATAGCAATAAAACGCAGTTCTCATTCTTTTTCAGTAAAAAGCTCATTTTCCCATTTTTAGGTAATGTGGTTAATTTTAACATAGTTGGATTGCCAAAAATACTATACCTGGTTAAGTTAAAAGTGTTCACTAAATAAGTTTAAATGGTATTGAACAGGAAAACAATCGATACAATATTACATATCAATTACGTACCATATCCTTTCCCTTTTTTGTTAACCAAACCAGTTTTTCTGGAAACGGACTGGCATGTGGAGAAGGGATACCAATTAGGAACCGGACTTTCATTGCTAGTTCTAGCACTTTCCAATTCAACCAGAAGTGGACCACAAAGGGCTGACCGGGGCTGAGGGGCTTCCAGGCTCCTCAGAGGGCAGGCCCCTGGCGCTCACCAAACAGACCGGCTCTCTCCCTGGATGCTGTGGCAGGACTCCATCTAGAAGAATCCAAAAACCCGGCCGCGGCAGGAGCGCGCGCCAACCTCCCAGCGCCCAAGAGCAGCTCTGGGGAACAACGAGTTCACGGGCCAGGGTCCGGAACGGTGCCTGATCTCTGGGGAAGTGGTACAAAGCCTTGGCAGCAAAGCCGCAGGTGTTCCAGAGCTTTGCCTTCCCGAGGCACGGCGCACGAGCCTGCGCATGCGCACTCCTTCCAGGTGCCACCACCCTGGAAAAGGGGTAGCGACTGGTTACTAGGAGACCGGACGCTCCGGTGGGATGCCTGGGCCTTGCGCGAGCGTGCGCCTGCGCGGCGCGGATGGACCAGGAAGAAGCCTTTTCTAGGCGTCTGCTGAGGCTGGCAGGTGGACGTACGCGTCGCTACGTGCCTGGGTGCGCGCGCAGGGCTTGTAGTCCCCGCGAGAGTGAGGGTCGAGCCAGGTATGTGTGCTCACAGGGACTGTGGGCTTGCGGGAAGGATGCGGAGCGAAGGCACCGGGAAGATGGAGGCTGAGCCTCCCCACAGGTACAGAGTGTGAGGGCGGGGCCGGCGGCTGCGCGGGGCGGGGCTAACCTTCCCGCTGGGTCCCGTCTTCTTCCATCCCCACCGGGGCGGGGCCAGGTCGATGTGGGCGTGGGAAGGGAGGGAAAGGGGCGGAGGATGGAGATGGGGTGGGACCTGGAGCCAGAGCTGAGGCCCCGGGCTGGCAGTCGCAGGAATGAGCTCCGAGGAGGTCGCGGGGCTGACTAGCCCAGGGAGGGACCCAGAGCTCCAGGTAGAAGCAGCGGAGATGGGCCGGTTGGGGTAAAGCAGCTTCTGGGCCGTAAGGCCTCTGAGGAGGCAGCTGCAGGAGGGAGTGTGTGGCGGGGGTCGGGGCTGTGAGTGACCCCACGGTAGGTATTTGCTGCTCGAGCTGCTGTGAGGGGCGGTAGCGGGCAGAGTTGTGGTCCTGGGATGCCCTCCAGGAGCAAACTTCGCCTCCATTGCTATTTCTTAGGAGCTTAGGTTGAGCCCAGTTCCTATGGTGACCGCTTCGCTTCCTGCCGCAGCTCCACCGTTCGGTTTAGAAACGCTCTGGATCGGGGCTGAGGAATTTGGAAGTCAGAGACCTGGGAGTTCAACCCGGCTCATCCTCCCTCCCAGCCTCTCGCTTCTAAGCCTGTGCAGACTCTGGGAGGTTAAGGGCCGAGGTTACATGGCATTCGCATGAAAGTCTCATAATTTCAATACCCAGGAAAGGCGGGGAAGCTGGCTTTTGTTTGAAAAACTAGTTGAGACAAATTGAACAACTGAGGCAGTCATAGACCTGATACCTAAATACGTATAGGAATACATATATTTTAAAAAAACAACTCAAGGATCGCGGCTTCAGGAAAAGTTTGCAAAGGTGTCCTGGAGTTTTCCTTCTTCCACTACATGCCCTTATATCTCAGGATATTCGGTGTTTTAAATTTCCTGTACTGACATTTCAACTACACTTTTTGTTTTCTTTTACCTGAAAGTAAATGAGTAGAATAACAGTCGTTTTTTAAGTAGAGGAAAACAGGTTAGTTATAAATATAAAAGGAAAGTGTCACACCATTCAAATCTGCCTCCAGGATAAAACTGGTTTTTTTGTTTGTATTTTAATTAATCAATGAATTAAATCAATCTCTTTTTTTTAATCCTCACCAGGTGATATATATATGTGTATATACATTTATATGTGTATATATTTATACATATATATATCAAATCCACACGAGGATATGTTTTATTGATTTCTAGAGAGAGAGCAAGGGAGAGAGGGAAACATAGATGTGGAGGGAGGAACATGATCAGGACCACCGGAATCTAACAGGCAACTTAGGTATGTGCACTGACTGGGAACCAGCCTAAAACGGAGGTCACCCCAACAAACTGAGCCACCTGGCCAGGGCTAAACCAGTCATAATTAGTGGGAAATAATTAGGAAGGTACACTAATGAAATATTAATTTTAAATAATAAACTTTGGGGTTATTTAATAGCAACTTTACATATATATTATTTAGTTTTCTGAAAAGAAAAAAAAAAGATCACTACTTTAGCCCAGCATATAATCAGTTGTAGAGATTTTCTGGGCTCTTTCTGTCTTCTTTTTCTGTAGTTTTTTTTAGGATAATCTGTTTTTAAAGTACTCAAGATACAGAGGCAGTTAGAACAGGTGCTATTACTTACTCCCTTTTCCCATCAGACACCCTACTCCACAAGTAGCCACTATGGTAGCCACGCCCTTGCTTTTCCTTATAGTTCCTCCATCTTTGTGAACATGCACATTCTAATTTGACTTTTGAACTTTATATAAATGAAATTTTACTAAGTATTTCTTTGCATTTTGCTTCTTTACTCGCCATTGTTTTAAGGTTTATCCTTGTTGTTGCTTCTAGTTTGTTGTTTAGTGTCCTAATGTAAGAATATACCACAGTTTATCTCCTCTTCTCTTGATGGACACTAAGGATTTTAGTTTTTGGTAAATGTGAACAACACTGTTGTGAAGTTGCTTATACATTACCCCATGATAATCCTTTTATTTTCCCAGGGTAATCTTTTGAAGTGAGCTAGTTAGTAAGGCAGTTCCATGTCTTAGTTATACTACTAATACCAATTTATATATTATTAAATATTTAAGTTCAGAAAAGGCTCTTGAAAACAACTATTTAACCCCTTGTGTTTCCAAGAGGTCTTAATAAGTGGTACCTCTCCTAAGGCCATTTATTTATTCACGTTTAAAACACAAGCTGTTTCTTTACAGTATAATCTGATTTGAAGAGAAGTGAGGGAGGGCTTTGGGTTTGAATGGAATCACTAGGAAAGGTTATTTCTTTTTCATAAGAAAGGTTATACATTGTGGCTTTACTATTCTGATTGAAGTGAATTCCCAAAACATTTATTCACTGATTTTATTATAAATACAAAATACCTATCTCAAAATTATTCATAAAATTTTGTCTGGTTCTCTGTATCTTTCTGTTAGTGAGGCTACTCTTCCTTCCTACTTCAAAATGTCTATCAGTCTAAACATTTGGGGACAGTTTTATAAAAAGAAAACGAGTTGACCTTTTGCGGAACTAGAATTCAGAATCCCATATAAAATATTCCAGTATTCTGTAAAAATATTCAGTGGACATTTGTTGAGGACATATTATATACCTGATACTTTGCTCAACACTGATGATACTTTTTAGCACAAGATCTTACCTCATCTTTCACTGAAAAGGCAAAAGTCTACCAGGCAGGAGCTTCTTCAGATTTCTACCCCTTATGTTAATCTTCGCCTGACCTTGCTTTTCTCTTTCTTGCCTCCTAGGACAATGCACAGCTTGTACCTGGATTTCCTCTTGTTAGCCCAGTGGCCTTTCTCCATTAGTTAGCATTAACCCATGTCTTAGAATCTTTATTGTGTTTACCCTGTAGGGCTTTTTAACCTGGAGCACAAGAACTTAGGGAGTTCTTGAACCCCTGAAATTGTAAAGTTTTGTATGTGTTTGCATTTAGGACGGACCCAGGGCTTTTGTTTAATTCTGAAAGCTTTCCTTGATGTAAAGAGAATTAAGAAACAAGTTTTTCTTCTTTTGTAACGACCCTTCAACAACCTTGGTTGTCTTCTAACTTTCACTCTACCTGTCTTCTCACAATCATGCTTCCTAAAAGAAATGTACATTTTCTATTTCCTTTTCCTTACTACTAGTTCATTTATTAGGCCTCATCAAACTTACTTCAACCCCTTTTCTACCATTAAAACTGCTTTGCTCCAGTCATCAAAGTTGATTATATTGAAAGTATTTTATTGAGTACCAGTTTTGTGCTGTGCACCTTTCTAGGCATTAGAAATATAGCAGTGACCCGATAGAGTCTAGATCTCTTGGAGCTTACCTTCCAGTAGGGGGAATAAACTAGTGAAGAAATAAATGATGTAATTTCAAATAGTGTAAGTGTAAATGACCTAGTAAGAGAGTGACTGAGAGAAAGGCTGCTTTAGGTAAGAGGTCAGGGAAGACCCTCTGACATTTCAGCCAAAGAGCTGAGCGGAGGGTCAGATGGAGCCAGCCGTGGGCTGGGCCTTAAAATGGAATGATGTTGGTACAGTAGAGGAACAGGAGGAAAACCAAGCTGGTGGGGGAACAAAGAAGAGAGTGCTGGGTCTTTAGGGAAGCAAAAGCAGGGGCCAAATTACATAGAACTTTAAAATGTATGGATTTTATTCTGATTGCAGTGGGAAACCATTGGAGTCTTTTTGAGCAGGATCTCATTGTTTTAAAGTGACTGTTTTGATTTCAGTTTGGAAAATAGTTGTAGGGAGCGACAGTAGAAGCAGAAAGACCAGTTAGGAAACTGTTGCAGTAATCCATGTGGGAGATGATGGTGACTTGAACCATGGAGGTGGTAATAAAAATGGAGACAAGTGGGTAGATCTGGAGTTAGAACCAGCAGGCCTTGTTGATGGATTTGATGGGGGTCAGGGAAAGAGGAAACAAAGAGGACTCCTCAGTTGTTTGACCTTGGGCACTGCCTGAATGATAGTGCCATTTGACATGGGAAAGACTGGGAGGGAACATAGAGGAGGTGGGGTTGAGAGCAGACTGCAGGTGGGAGAATTAGAGGTCTTTGCACGTGTTAAAGTTGCAGTGGCTGTGACATCCAATAAACAACATAATGTGTTATGTGCTCCAATAGGGTATGTTCATTGCTTTTTGGGAACATGGAAAATACATTCTGAGTCCTTTGGAGGGAAGTAGAACTCAGAAATACTCATTTGTAGTCCTTGTCTCTCTATCCCCTTAGCATCCATGTGCATTCATTCCTCTGATGTGCACTAATCCTGCTGTACTCTAATTTCTGATTTATTTGTTCTGGACTTCCCTAGATTCATTAAGGTTGAAATTATAGCTTTTTATTTGTTTTCCGTCTTTCTATCCCCAGAATCTAATATTGGTTCATCATTATTCTAGCTATTTATAAATTTGACAATTGAATAAATGTGACCGTTACAGTCTGATAGTATGAACTGAAACCGTGGTAGGGATGAAAGAAATGTATTTGAGAGAGATTTTAGTGAAAAGACCAGTAGGACTTGATGGCCAATTAGATAAGTTGAGTCAGTGAGAGGAATTAGTAATAATAGTAATTGTTAATAGTAATGTATATAGCAGTTTAGCCAGGCACTTTTCTGAGTGCTTTATGTGTATGAATCCTCACAACAGCTCTTTGAAGCATGTACTGTTATCATTCCTATTTTATAGGTGAAACCTTGGCCACAGAAGTAACTTGCCTATAGTCATGCAGCTGAGAATCGGCAGAACTAGCATGGTGAACATGAGCAGTCTGACGCTAAGGAGGGTTCCCTTAACCGCTGTGTTGTGTTACTTCCCAGTTGAGAATGATTGTGATTCTAGCTTGGATGTTCATGGTAACAGTTTGCTGCTCGCACAGTACTTTTACTTGCATTCTCTGGGATCTGTACAGGAGCACACGTTCCATTCCTAGTTCCACTTAGAGATCATGGGAATATGGAAGATATTCAGGTGGCAGGCTAGGCATGAGCATTTCAGATACATTGATTTCTCTCCCTCTTTACTGCCTCCAAAACTAGTGCAAGGAAAGTAGCAGCTCTAATATGATTGCTCACAATTGTCAGGTCATCTCTGGGCCGCTTCCTCCTCCTAATTCTAGATTATTCTCTGAGGTAATTTTATAGAATCCCTACTTGATTGAGTTTACCAAAGAGAAGAAGGAAAATTCAGTTTTATTTATTTTAGTGTATACTGCTTTATCACCTCCACAAATTTTTATGACACCTTCCTATTATACAGACAACTCTGCCGTTTGGGGCAGTACAGAGAGCTCTAGGACATAGCTTGTTCTTAACATTTTAATGACTGTGTGTGGAAGATATATGTCCAGGAAAACCAAATAGCTACATAATCTGTTCTGTTACTAATATATACAAAAGTCTCAAAGAAGTAGTGATCACTATTCAATGGAGAAGATGGAGAGAACCTCCTAGAGAATATGTAATTCAAGCCGAACCTTAGAAGTGTCTTTAGTTAAATGGAGAAGAGGGTGAGGGGAAGGCTTATGTATAAAAGATAACATGTTTCTGAATGTATAAAGAATGGTTGGGCCCGGCCGGGCTTGGCTCAGCGGTTGAGCGTCAATCTAGGATCCAGGCAATCAGGGTTCGATTCCTGGTCAGGGCACATGCCCGGGTTGTGGGCTAGGCAGCCGATCAATGACTCTCTCATCTTTGGTGTTTCTATCTCTCTCTCATTCTCCTTTCCTCTCTCTGAAATCAATAAAGATATATTTTTTTTAAAAAAAAAAAAGAATGGGTGGAATAGTTTGTCTTTAATGGAGGGATACTTGGAAGGGTCAAGTAGGAGATACATTTGGAGACTGGGAAGGGGTCAAATTATGAAGAACTCTGAATGCTAGGCAGGTTTAGACTTTAATTTCCCTGAATTAATTTTGGCTGGGGCCCATTTAAAATAAGAAGATGAGGAATAAATAATAATTCAGTGCTCATTTCATGGGACTCTCTATGGGTCTAGTTTCTCTACTAGCCAAATAAAGATCACTGAGCAGCTTTTAGGAAATGCAGTATTTCAGGCCTGTTGTGAATTAAAATCTGCATTTTCACAAGATTCCCAAGTGATTCATATATTCACTAAAAATTGAAAAATAGCATGGTGAGGAGTCATTTGATTCTCTTATTCTAAGTCAAATGTTTATATTGAGGAACATATTTTTCCACAGAAGCTGTGAAGGAGTGGTAGTTAGGATTTCAGCCCACCCCATAAGGGCCTAAATGATTCATCATTAGAAATATTCTGTGGGATCTAATGCTAAGTTCCAAGAGGGGCAGCAAGTAGTGGAATGAAGAGCAGAAACCCAGACTTGGGTCTTGTTTAGGGAAAGGGAAAAGAGATAAGTCTATCACACTGCTCAGTGCATGATCAGACAGGGTGTGACTCAGAGTCAGCGACTGGGGGATCCTGATCCTGTACTTTCCCGAGCACTAGATTTTGGAGAACAGCAGTGTTACCAGGAGAAACCTATGGTGCTTGTAGCAGTTCTCTCTTCTTAACATAAAGGCAGCCTGGAGTCAGGAAAGAACCAATTATTTTCCTCAATTACACAATTTCTAAGAAGAATTGTCACATGAAAAAGCACAATATGGATTAGTATGTGTAGTATGTTGAAGTGAAATATCTTATTTTTGCACATGTACAAACGGGAAGAAATCCTAGAAAAAGAAATCCTAGAAATGGAATTCTTTGTACAGAAGCCATGTACATTTGTAATGTTGCTGGATTTAATTGTTCTCCATAAACATTGTGTCAGTTTACAGCGCCACAGTGATGTATAACAATCTATGTCATATATCCAACTATTTTATCTTTGCCATTGTGACAAAGATAAAAAGTGGTATCCACTGCTGCTTCACTCTGTATCCCTATAACTGAAGAGATTGAATATCTTTAAATCTATTTATAAGCCATGTATGTGAAATATCCATATTCTTTGCCAGTTTTTCTACTAGGGTATTTCTTTTCCTTTTTTATTTATAGAAATTATTTATATATTAGGGAAGTCAGCCCTTGGTGATATGGGTAGCAAAACTTTTTGGAAAACACAGGCCTCGAGGGAGACTACTTAATTATCTGCCACCCAATATTTCCTTACTACAGTGATTACCAAGGGGATAAGATGGGGCGTGTATTTTTTGAAAAGCATGTTCAATATTGTAGTTATATTTGGAAAACACAGAAAAAGTTTTATAATATAAAATGTTTAGAAATTAAAGCTTGGTGAAATCCTCTTTGCTGGTATAACAAGGTTAAAACCAACTGAAAATGTATCTAAGAAGGTTGTTAATTTCCAAAATTTATTGACTGTTGTGAAAAATCACAAAACTGTTTTAAATGGAATGTTCTGGTATTATTCCCATTCTTTCCACTAGGTTACCACCAAAGAAGATAATTTTGGTCTAGGGGCTCCAGTTTCTGAAGCTGGAAAATATCAGAATACTCTCCAGCTAGAACAAGAAGTGAGAACTCAAGATAAATTCATCTCTGCACTGAAATTACAGGTTACATTTAATTTACATACATATTTACTTCTCTCAATTAGTTTTGGCTGGGGCCTATTTTAAAATGAGATGAAGAATAAAATTAATTCAGTGCTGGTTTTATGGTTTTTATTTTATGGGTCTACAATAATTTCATTTTTATCTTAACCATTTTGATACACATAGATTCAGAGTCAGTGAGTGCAAACTAAGTGTTGTATTAGGTACTTTCAAGTACATAATCTTACTTCATCCCAACCTTGCGAAACTGTTGCTACTTCTGTTTTACAGACATGGAAACTGAAGTTCCAAGAGGTTAAAGAATTGTGATACTGGCCTAATGAGTGACAGAGCTAGGATTTCTCTGAACTCCCAAGTTAGCTAGGATTTGAACCCGTTCTCTGACCTCCAAGTTCAGTATTGCTTCTCTTCTGGTGCCTGATCTGTGGTGTAGCTATTAATAGAAATCGCCTCTTCTAGGAAGAAGTAGACTGATTTCCCCTATTCCTCCTACTAAGTACAGCTAAACCCCCCGAACATTATGTATAAAACAAATGGAACACTGAAAGGTGGGAAGAAAAAAAACTGACTAGGGACCCTATCATACAATGAGTGACACATTAGTGAGTTCCTAGATTTTCTTTTTGCTCCATATATTTCAGACAGGTACTGGAAAAACTTGCCCTCAGAAACAACAATGGGTGCAGACCAAATAAAAGGTCTCAGAAAAGCCATCTATCTCTAGCCAAAGGACTAGGAAAGGACAGCCTAGCAAGGCAGACTACTTTTAGACAACAGAGTGGAAAAAACTATAGCCCTGTTCCTGCCAGCAAAGGCTAAGTAAAGAGCCTAGACTTCTACCCTTGCCAGGCTATAACAAGAAGCCCCACATGCACCTCGTACTCTCCCCGTGATCCCCCACCAAGTTCTCCATCCTGACAAGGTGGTATCAGAGAGGATGGCTGAGTTGGGAACCAAGACTTTTCTGCCCACAAAGCAGTCAGTAAGGGAAGTTCCCAGCCCCGTAGTGTGTGTGTAAACCACATGGGGAGCCTGTACATCTACCCCCACCTGGTAGTATGAGGTGCCCCCTTTCCTCCTTGCTGGAGTTGTCAGAGGAGACAGTGCAGAGTTAGGGCTTTTACCATGACCCAGCATTAACAAGTCCACTCACCTACAGAGGCTGTGGAGGACAGGAGAGAGCAGTAACGAGGCACCTTTGTTTTTCGTAGCTGTTGTGTTATCAGCAGTCCTAGTGAGGAGCTTGAACTTCCATCCCTGCCTAGCAGCAACAAGGAGCATCACCTTCTCCAGGTGTCCATGGAAGCCTTAGGTAGAAACTGGACTTCCATCCCACCTAGCAGGAAAAAGGCAGTGTCCCTCTTTTCTAGTTGGAGCAGTGTCACAGGAGACCCACTAAAACACCAGGTTTCAATAATAATAAAAAAAGACTCCTCAGCCCCCAAATCAGGAAGATCTAAATTTTAATGAGAAAAGACAAGATATACCAACACAGAGATGAATTAGATACTATAATTATCTGACAAGGATTTTAAATCAGCCATCTTAGAAGTGCTTCAGCAAGCAATTTTGTGAATTCCTGAGACATACAAAAGAAAATAGAGAACCTCAGCCAAAAAAAAAAAAAAAAGACATAAAGAGATACAAAGAAGAACCAAATGGAAATTTTGGAAGCAACCAAATTGTTCTTCAATAAGTAAATGGATAAATGAACTGTGGTGCATCTGAAGAATGGAATTGTAAAAGGAAATGAGTTATCCAGCCACAAAAAGACATAAAGGAACCTTGAAAGCATATTGCTAGGTGCAAAAAAAGCAATCTGAAAAGGTTATATACTCTCATTTCAGCTATATCACCTTCTGGAAAAGACAAAACATAGAGACCTTAGAAAGATCACTGCTTGCCAGTGATTTGGAAGGAGGGAGTGGTGAATGGAGCACAGGTGATATTTAGGGCAGTGAAACTTTTCTGTATGATACAATAATGATGGTTACAGGTCATTATACATTTGTCAGAACCCATAGAATCTACAGCCCAAAGAATGAACCCTAATGTAAACTATCGACTTTAGTTAATAATAATGTATCAGTGTTGGTTCATCAATTATAACAAATGTACTACACCATTACAAGATGTAAGAGGGTAAAATGAAGGGGTTTTGGGGGTGGCAAAACAAAAGGATGTCAGAAATCTCTAATTCCTGACCAATTTTTCTATAAACCTAAAACTGTTCTAAGAAATAAAGATTATTAAAAATGCACAGAAGGAAATGTTTCTAAATTTTGTATCAGATAAGGCATTAATATCCAGAATATAGAGAACTACTACAACTTAACAACAATCACAAACCCAGTTCAAAAATGGGTGAAGGACTTGAATAGACATTTCTCCAAAGAAGATACAGATGGCTAATAGGACATGAAAAGATCACCAACCATTAAAGTAATGGAAATTAAAACCCCAATGAGATATCACTTTACACCCATTAGGATGGATATTATAAAAAAAACCCAACAGAATATAACCAGTATTGGTGAGTATGTGGAGAAACTGGAGCCCAGTATGTTGCTAGTGGGAAAGTAAAAATGGTGCAGCCATGTTGAAAAAAGTTTAGCAGCTCCTCAAAAAGCTAAATATAGAATTACAGTATGTTCCCAGATATTCCACTCCTAAGAATATCCCCAAAATATTAAAAGCTGGCCCTCAAAGAGATATTCGTACACCAGTGTTCATAGCAGCATTATTTCCAATAGCAAAAAGTTAGAAACCCAGATGTTCATCAACAGATGGATGGGTAAACTGTGGTATATACATGCAATGGAATATTACTCAGCCTTAAAGGATAAAATTCTGATACAATGATACAACATGGATGAGCCTTGAAAACATTATGCTAAGTGAAATAAGGCATGCACAGAAGGACAAATATTGTATGTACCTAGAATAGGAAAATTCATAGGTTTTGTTTAATGGGTACAGAGTTTCTGTTTGGCATAATGGAAAAGTTCTGAAAATGGATATGGAAAGGTTGCACAACATTATGAGTATTTTTAATGCCACTGAGTTGTACACAAAATAGTTATAATGGTAAATTTTATGGTATATTTTACCACAAAAATTGTTAAAACAAATAACAGTAGCTGAAGTAAAAAACTCAGTGTTCTCAAACAACAAAATACACAGGAGAGAGGAATGAATCAGTGAACGTGAGAACAGATAAATAGAAATTACCTAAAGAGAGAAAAAATAGATTGGAAAAAAATCAATGGAGGTTTAGAACAGGAGGAACTGTAAGAAAAGATACAATATTTGGATAATTGTAGTCCCAGCTAAAGAGGAAGGAAAGAGTGAGGCTGAAAAAGTATTTGAAGGAATAATGGCTAAATATTCCCCAAATTTGGTAAAAGACAAGACATTAAAGGAGTCTCCCAAAGAAATCCATGCCTAGGCACTTTATATTTAAACTTGTGAAAACTAAAGACAAAAAAAATTCCTCAGATTAAAGATGGCAGCGGACTGAGTAGAAGGTCTACTGATGGTCTCCCAGGACTAAACTGGAATTACAACTAAAACCATCCTGAATAATAAACTGCAACTGAAGACTTGCTAGAGAGCACCCTTAAAACCAAAGACCTAAAGCAGAGACAGCATAGAGACTGGTAGGAAGTGCAGAGGCACAAGAGGGCTCAGCTGAGGGATATATCAGCTTTGGGGCTTTCCCACTGAGGACTCTGAGGTCTAAACCACAAGCTGGGCTTCCCAGCCAAGAGCACCAGAGCTGAGAAGGGTGCCCACATAACAACTGGCTGTGAAAAGCAGCAGGGATTCTGTCTGCCAGGGACAGAGACTAGAACTACAAGCACCCTCTTGAAGAGTCAAAGTACAAAGTTGTGTGTAGCCACTCACCTTGGGCTCCAGTAGAGGAAGGGCAGATTGGACTGGAGCTGGGTGAGGAGAATCTAGGGTTGTGGGTTCTGGAGGCAGATCAGAAGGCACCCGTCTGAATTCCTGTGCCAAGTCATTCCCCCATACTGCAGACTACCTCTTTCTCAGGCAGACATTTTGCAGCTTTTGCCTGGGAGGGGGGAGGAAGCAATTGCCCCACCCTGCTAGGAAACCTTTTGCCCTACCCAGAGGAGTTTCTACAGCCTTAGGCTCCTTAAGAGGCTGATAACCAGCTACCCCACCCTGTGGAATTTCTACAGCCTGAGGCTCATTAAGAGAATCAGATTAATCAGCCTGCAGGCAGAGGCAGAGCTCAGAGTGCTCTGAGTCTTTGCCTGATCTGCTTCTGGACCTGGGCCTTGGAAAGCAGACTGTGGTGTGCATCTTGGTCCTGTCCAAACACACCCAGCCCCAGCAGAGGAGACCTCAAGCCGAGGGTTGTTGATAGCTTCAAACAGGATACTCAGGGCCAGTCACAAACTGCATCTGACAATTGGCCTGTACCAGAGACCCTCCAAAAAGTGAGAGTCCTAGCAGATCTATCTAATACATAGCAAGAAACCCAGACAGTCAAAATGGGGAGACCAAAAAACATGCCCCAAATGAAAGAACAAGACAAGTCTCCAGAAAAAGAGCTAAATGAAATGGAGATAAGCAATCTCTCAGATATAGAATTCAGAATACTGATTGTAAAGATGCCCAACAGCATGAAAAAGGATATGGAAACTATGAAGAAAATTAAGAATGGCATAACAGAAATAAAGAATACATTGGAAGGAATAAAAAGCAGATTAGAGGAAGCTGAGGCTCAGATCAGCAAATTAGAAGACAGCAGAAAAAATCAGATTCAAAAAGAAAAAACCATTTAAAAACAGGATGACAATTTAAGGGAGCTGTGGGACAACATGAAACATAATATTTGCATTATGGGTGTGCCAGAAGAGGTGGAAAGTAAGCAGGGATAGAGGCTTTGAAGAAATAATGGCAGAAAACTTCCCTAACCTGGTCAAGGAAAAAGTCACACAAGTTCAGGAGGCACAGAGAGTCCCAAGCAA